ATCCCGGAGCTGGTTTTGCGGGTTGGGGTTTGAGGGCCGAAGCCGGCGGCGGCTGGAGCACTGGCCGAGCGCTGTGTTAACGGGGCCGAGTTGCCGTAGTACGGTTTGGGGTCGTTCTGCGGGAGGCTGAGCCGGTCTCTAGGGTGGGCTGGTGTATTTTTGAGGCTGTGGGTGAGGAAATTGGACCCCTTGCTTTATACTCATCTTCCTGCCCTCACTGAAGGATTCTGCCTGCTGTTCGTCTCCCAGTCAGCCCTGGCTTTGCTGCTCTTTATCCTCTTTTTCCTGGTACTCAGGAACTGCCAAAATTGTTCCCATGTTCCAGGAGTGGTCACAGCAGTGGGACTACAGCTTTTGTGGGTGCTGAGGTCATATGAGATATTGAAATGAACTGGAGAAGAACTGGGGTAGGAAGGGACCCCTGGAAGTCCTTGGCCCGAGGCAGAGCTAACTTCACAGGTAGTTCAGGTAGCTCGTGGCCGTGTCTGGTTGAGTTTGAATACACCCAAGAAGGAGATTTCTGCACCTTGGTCACGGGGCTGACCACGCTGGTAACGAAGAATTGATTTTTTCTGGGTGCATAGTCAGAGTTTCTCTTGCTGCAGCTTGTTCCCAGCACTTCTTGTCCTTTCACGGTTCGCTCAGAGAAGTTTGGCTTCATCCTCTCTCTGACTCCCCAGCCGTGTTGATCAGACAGGAGGAAAACACGCAACAGCTGACTTCCCATCTCCTTCAGTGCAGCCCTGCTGGGCCTGGAGAGCTGCTGTGGAGATGTGGGAGTGCTCCGGGCTGAGCCACAGTGAGCTTGGAGTCCTGCTTGGTCTTCTCCTGCTTGGTACCCGTGGCAGCAGCGCTGCTGTCAGCGTTTCTGTCTGTTTGTGCTCCCAAGCCCTCGCCCTGATGTGAATCTCCGCTGGCTCCGAGGCAGAGTTTGTGGTACAGTTCACATCTCCTCGTTGCACGTGTTTTGCTGCCACCAGTTGACTGTAACATTTGAAATTGGAGAGTGTCTGAGACTCACGACTTTTGCAGAAGCTTTTACAGTCGAGAGACTCTACCTGCAAGCAGCTGTGACTGCCGCTTCTGCAACGGGCACCATGTAAGGAGGGAACAACAGCCGTGGCTGCAGTGACCCCCGAGGAGCCGTGTGGCCAGCTGGGGCTGCCTGCCCTCCTCAGGGGGGACTGCTGCAGAGGAGGCAGCGGGTGTCACCGTCTCCGCAGGTGTCACCGTCCGGCACAGCCCTCCTCGGCGCCGAGAGCTCTGACCAAACCCAGCTCTGTCACAAAGCTGCCGGGGTCTGGGGTGACGGTGCTGCACAGCCAGGAGGCTGTCCTTGGTTTGAAGCACGTTATTTCCATAGTGTGTTTCTTCCCACTGACAATTCTGTAAGAAATAAGACGTTTTCTGCTAAATAAATGAAGAGTTTTTGCTCCCAGAAGTTTCCTCCCCGTGTTAGCAATTTTAACTTTGGTGTGGAAGCCCCTTGGGTTATTCCCTTCTTGACTGAGCCACCTACAGCAGGTTTCTTAAATCTGTTGCTTCCAGGGAGGTTTCTCAGGATTGAATCCATCTTATTGATATTCCCTGGACTTCCTCCCAGACTCTCAGCAGCTTTTATGTGGGAGTGAAGGAAGCAGAGTTATTATTCCAGTCGCGAGCGCGGCAGCTCCACGTGCCGGGGGACGGGGCTGCCTGAAAACGGGGCCGGCTGCCTTCGCCCCAGCGCTGCAGGGGAAGCTGCTGCCCAGTTGTTGATATCTAATAATCCTTCAGTCTCTTTGCCATTGTCTTTGTGTCCCTGGTTATGTCCTTTTGTAATGGGAATTCTGTAGTTAGTGGGGACAGGCTCTTGGGTTTGGCCCCTCAGATGAGAGAGGGAGAGTCTTTGGCCCTGCAGCCCTGTTGCTGTGAGCTGGCTTTCCCTTCACTGCTGTCCTTCACTGACAAGAACATAAATTAGCTTCTTTTCAAATACCCTGTGAGCTATTCAGGCGTGTTTCCCTCCAGTTAGAAGTGTGTGTGTTGTTCAGGTGCTCCCTGCTGCTTTTCATGGTGGGGATTTACTTCCCTGGCAGGTCAGGTCAGGGTGCTGGAGGTGGGTGCACCTACACTGGGCTCTGACAGGAGAGGGTTAGTTCAGCTCCTCTTGAGGAAAAGGATGTTGAATGAGGATGGAGGGATGAAGGGAGCCAGTGCACCTCTGAAGTGAGCCAGGACTCAGCGTGATCCCTGTGCTGCTCCCTGCTGTGGTTTTTCAGGCTGTGCCTTGGCCTCTGGGACCTTTGGGAGCTGGTGGCAGCAAGTTTCATCTCTGCTCTCTTCAGCCAGAAGTAACCTGTTGTTTTTGTTCCTTTCTAGGTCTCTTCACACTCCTCGTTGAAGATTTTGGTGAGTGCAAGAAGCCTTACTGGGAAGTCAGTTTCATGCTTAATGTCACCCCAGGTTCTTTCTGGGGAGCTTTACACCAGCTTCTTTGTTTACAGGGGTCAAGGGAGTCCAGGTTGAAGAGATTTATGATCTGCAGAGCAAATGCCAAGGGTAAGTCAGAGGTGTGAAAGTGTGAGTGTTATTAAGCAGAAGGTGTTTGTGGGCCTGGGAACTCATTGCCAGGCGTTCAGAAGGGCCTGTGTGAGCTTGAGGCTCATGGAGGTCAGCACTGTAGTGAGGAACCAGGA